AGAGAGAGAGAGAGAGAGAGAGAGAATGAGAAAGACGTGGAGAGAAGAAAAAGGCTTAGTCTCTCTGAATTCTATCTCCCCAGTATTGCCCGAAGAGAATATACTACCGCCACCACCATCATGACCGCATCGAACTTCGGTATACCGAAGCCACAGCCTAGACTAAGTCACTACCGGCTTCAGCTGGAGGTTTCGGGATCTTGGCGCTGGGTGCGTTAGAGTTGGAACTTGCATAGTACCTCTCTACGGTCAATAGAGTTGGTCAGCAGAATAAACAAGGGCAAAGAGGGAAGAGAAAAAAAAAAGAAAGGAGAAAAAGAAAATCCCGTTTCGTTTTCTTTCCTTTTTCTGGTTGGGTGAGACCTTGATGTTTCGGTCCCTTGTCTGTTACAGTTTCTAGCCCTGGTTAGTAAGATATTACCAAGAACACATCCACACACACACACACACACACACACACACAGAGAGAGAGAGAGAGAGGGGGGGGGGGGGGGGGGGGAGAGGGAGAGGGAGAGAGCGAAAGTGCGTGTCCGTCTCCCTCTCTCTATCTCTCTCTGTCTGGAAATGTTTATACGGGCGGTGCCACTCCCGAAGCCGCAAGGGTGTGGCTGCGTCATCCCAACATGGGTACGGGGCCGAACAGAATGTACTCGCATACGCGGATGTGTGTGTGAGTGCGAGTGAGTGTGTGTGTGCGTGTGTGTGCGCGCGTGTAAGGGCAAGAGTATTATAGAAGTAAAAGGAACATGGTCAAGATGAGGATCCCGAGCAGTCTCCGGCTCCGATCTGACCGACGACGCGTATTCTCCCGCTGCCATCGACACGGCTCGGCAAGTTCCCTGATGCTGCGTATGTGTATGTGCGTGATCTGTTTGGTCCGGCCGTCTGGGGTAAAGTTGTGTGCATACGATGTGTCGTTTTTCCGTCCGTCCGTCTGTTTCCCTCCATCTCACTCAACCCACGTGGTTTCTCGAGGCGCAGGCCGTCGAGATGAGGTGGCCGGGTATCGGTCACGGCTCCCAGATTCTGCGAGAGGGCCGGGCGGCTCGGGGTGGAGAGGAGGAAGGTCTGCTGACCCTGGGCCAGACTGCGAGTGGAATCATCGATATTGAGATGCTGATACGAGCAAGACATCAGAATGCATGCAGAGTGAAGGGACGGTCTTGTACCTTTTAATGGACAACCTGTCTCACCTGCAGGTAACTGTGGGGGTCGGGAGCTCTTGTGTCATATGAGCTGTCCACGAATGAATACGAAGAGACCGCCTGCACCGTGAGTTAGATGATGCTATCAATATCATGTTATCGCCGTAACGAAGTATGAGTTATCCTCACCTCAGTTGCGAATCACACACGCGACGTCAATGTCTGCTAGTGATGAACGTGGTACGACTATGGATTACCTTGCGACGTAATATGATACTCTCCCATAAGAGGCATGTCTTGTCTCGTCCTCCCCAGTCACACAATCTCCACCTCACCTAGGGAAGAGGAAGGCAAGAATTAAATGTAAAATTAAGATGTATATAAAAAAAAACAGGACCATCTTGAACAGCAGATGATCTTCAGTTGATCCCTGTAGAACAACGATATGTTCCCGACCGGAGAGAGAAGAAATAAAATAATATATAAAATAATATAAAATAATATAAAAAGGGGGGGGGGGGGGGGGGAAGGGAAAAGAAAAGAGGGAAGCAAGCAACGTACGAGGGGAGAGCCCTACGAGAGTCCCACTGATTGCCGCTTGCCGCTCTAGACCTTGCAGTTCATCGGTCCAAGGACTGCTCGAGGGTCTAGGTGCATTTTTTTTATTCTGTCTCTTATTTTGGTGAGCGCTTAGTGGTTCTGATCCTTGTTATTGTTATTGTTGTTGTCGTTGTTGTTGTTGTTGTTTTGGTCTCCCATCTCGTCCTCGTCTTCCCTTCCTCTTCTCGTCGGGTCCCCTTACAGACACCCTCGCCGCGGATTCGTACATGTATCGTATGAGAGATGTCCCAACCGGACCGGCCCAACCACATGTACGCTCGAGCGAGAGAGCGTCTGGAACTGAAGCTCATCTGGGAGTGCTGGTCCAGATTTATCAGCCGGGATGCACGTACAGGTACTGTTTTGCTGTTCGGCAGGGATTGCTCTCGGCCATGCCTCTCCCGCTCCCTCTCTCCCTCTCTCTCTCTCTCTACGACCGATATCTGCATCAGGAAGAGAGAAAGGGGGAGACGAGATGACGGAGAGCACTCACCATGTCGCGATGCATGTAAAACGAACACTGCCGGTATCCTTACACGGCTGCTGGTATCCTCTCTTGCTGCTCACAAGTATTCACCCCTCCCTCCCCACACCGGCGTCTACCTTACCACAAGCGTACTAGCCCTGCTTGCCTCTCCCCTTCCTCAGGACCTAGACACGAAACCTGGATTCAGCTGCGTCCTCTCCGACCTCCTCTCTCCAGCTCTCCCCCACTCTACAATGATGCCGAGCAATCAGCATGGAGCTCAAGAGATCTGGCCTGGCATGGTCTACCGCCGAGTTGGCACGGAGCTAGGGGGGGGGGGGGGGGGGGGGGGGGGGGTGGAGGGGAGCGGACTCCCTCTCTGCGGATCTACGCAAGGTTTCCCCATCACCTCAAGGGGAGACCCTGGTCAGTCTTCTCTGCCTCTCTCTCTCTCTCTCTCCATCTCTCCTTCTTCCTCTCTGTCCCCTCTCTCTTCAGCTCCAGTAGAGGCCGTAAGTCTACGTCTGGTGCTCGGCATCAAACCTTTCCGTTTCCGAGTAGGTCTGCCGTCTACCCCATACGTCGAGGGCAGCGAGTCCGGTATGGTTGAAGTGTATCAGAGATGATGTGCCCTTCTTACTTCCGCATCTCCGATAGTGCTAACCGGGAAGGACGAAGTCTAAACGTGACCTTGCTGTTCTCTCCGCGATGGGTGGAGGTTGTCACCTCCCTAGTGGCGGTGCGAGTCCTGCGTCCCGGCAGCGGCGCTGTAGACACATGTACGCGGTGATGCGTCGTTACGAGTACGTGGTATACGAGTACGTGGTGATGTAAGGAGTCGTACTTTCAAGAGTCGAAATGACATGTTTTACCTGTGCGCTCTCTCGTATTACTTCTCGACAAGTAATACCACTCATTGCTCCTGACCAGCACGTAACTCCCCATCCTCTTCTTCTCTTGAACATATTAATCTTTGATTAGTTTTGCATTGAATCTTTTACATGTTGCCTCGATGGAATTCATTGGTTGACTCGTCGTACTGCCCTACTGCCTAGTCTGCTGCCCCCCTCCCCCCCCCCGTAAGACTAAGATGCTAGCTCTGGATTCTCCGTCTTCACAGCCTCCACCAGCTCATCCATTCCACCCACGGTAGTAGGCCCACTCACTCCATCTGGGGGTAGAGCCCACCTCGGAAGCGGGCTCACGTATGCCCAGGATCCGTGGGCATCCTCGTAACGCAGGCTGTGTAGCCACAGAGACAGCTCGTGCGGACCCGGATCGGAGTAGAGAGGGGTCTGGCAGACGGAGCACAGCTCGCCCGTCATCTTCTCGGCGCGCCTCTTCTCATACTTTTCCACCATCTCGTCGTAGTAGACCACCGCCTGGGCCACCTCCTCCTTTCCCATGCGGGACAGTCGGCTGATGACGTCCTCATCCGTCGTGTGAGTTCCATCCGGATCGTCCTGTCCCAGGTCGAACCCCCAGACGCGCATGTTGGCGTAGATGGGGTCGTTCTGGATGGGGTGGCCCAGGTGTTGCAGGTGCACGCGCAGCTGGTGGGTGCGGCCCGTGACGGGCAGGCACCTCACGATGGAGTAGCCCTTCTTGTTGACCCACGGCGTGCCCCTTCCGTCCGCTCCGCCGCTTCTTCCCCGTCCGTCGTCTGCGGCCGCAGCGGCGACCAGAGTTGAGCTGTCGCCTACGGCCGCCGCACTGTGATTTTCAGATGCCGGGGTGCCGCTGGCTGGCTCCACGGACCCCCCGCCCGGAGGTGGGTAGTACGCGAGTCGTTTGAAGACGGTCCTCGCAGACTTGCCGTTGGCGCGCACACGATTCAGTCCCAGCTTGGGAGATATCGACAGGATCGGCTGGTCGCACACAACCTCGCCCTCGGGGAACTCCCCCACAACACGGGCGATGTACTCCTTGCGGACCGACCTGCCCTTTATCTGGACCCCCAGGGCCTCGGCGGCGGCAATGTTCTTGGCCACGAACATGATTCCGCTCGTCAGCCTGTCCAGCCGGTTGCACGGGTAGGGGAAGAAATCGGGGCCCCTCTCGGCCCTCATGATCTCCGTGATGGAGTTGAAGTTGTACCGCCCCGCAGGGTGCACCGGCACTCCCGCCGGCTTGTCGATGACGATCATGTCGTCGTCTTCGTGGATGACCCCGATGGGCTCCGACGTCACCGGCGGCTCGTGCCGGTGCATCGTGTGCGACACCTTGTCCCCGTTGCGCACCACGTAGTCGGGGCCGACCACCTTGCCGTTGACGAAGATGTCGCCGCGTTCCATGGCGGCCCGGTAGTACTCGAGGGGCCTGTCGCGAAACTCGGACGCGAAGATGTCAATCAACGTCCTACCCCTCCAGCGCTCCTTGCACCACGTGTTGTACGTGAAGTGGTAGGGCTCCACGCGGCGCAGATCCTCGTCAATCACATACGGGCGCGGCCACATGTCTCCTACTGGTGTAATGAGAGCCTCCTGGCTCTGCTTTTCCCTCTGCTCTCTTTGTCTCTGCTCTCTCGGCTTCTTCTGGCCCTTCTTCTCCACGCCGTTGCTCTGGGTGCTATGCTTGCTAGTAGCCGCATCACTGCCAGCGGCCACACCGTCTGCAGGAGCATCCCGGATGGGTGTACCCTGCACCGGTGCGTCCTGGCTGGTGGCAGGTTCATCCTGGCTGGGTGGTGCCGTCGTCACGGCGGCTGCCATCCTGATGGTACCCTTGTGCAGGGGTGATACTGGTATCGGTGCCGATCTGGTGGATGATGCCACCAAGCTTGTCCTCTTGGGGATTTGCCGTACGAGACAGCGTGACAGGGTAGCGCCTATGTTCATGGGCCAGCCATGACAATGAGCCGATGGACGGGGCAAAGGGGGTGAGGGTTGATGTGACAGATGTGCAGTATCAAAAGCGAGTAATAGTAGAGAATGAAAGAAAAGATACTTTGGTCGGATGTATCGCTTTCCTTTCTAGGAAGGATTTTCCTGCTTGAGAAAAAATAAAATGAATAAAGAATAAAAAATAAAAACGGATCAACAGCACATGTATGGGAAAACCTTGGCACCAGAAGAAATAGTCCAGCTGGAGCTTCTCTCAAGTGTCAACTCTGGATCGGGGATGATTCCATGTGCAACGAAATGGAGGGTGGAATTTTCTGATCTGTGGCTTGTGACATTCCTCTCCCCTCGCTGGCGGCAAAATCCGGCAGTAAGATGCGGCAGAAAGAATGTTTTATCGCGTTTATCTGACCGCCTACTGTTTCGGGTAGCCTTCTCGGCTGTCCGTAATGGAGGGGGAAAAAATTCCAAAGTTGAAAAAGTAGAAAAGCTGTACGCCACAATCACATGCGGCTAGTGACACTCTTGCGTCTTTCCAGAATAGCAGCAGGAACGGGACTGTGCTGACCAGGTCGCGCGGGTGGCTAATGCGGGACCGCAACGGGTGGCTAGGGTGGCTAGTGGCGCCACGACCGCGTGGTAAAGCTGAGAATAGTGAGATAGCGTGTGTTGAGAGGAGTGGCAGTGCTGTATGTGGCTTGGCAGTTCGGGGTAATTGGTAATCTGCAATCGGCAATCTGTACAGAGTACGGGGTATTATCATTACTCACCCAAGAGTCAGGTCTCAATGTCCTCATGGGCCATGGCCTGGCTGATGGTGTGGTGGAAGAATATGGTGGAGGGCACGGAGGTGTGGCTGATCGAAGTGGCTGGGATGGGGGTTTGTCTATGCTTAGACCCCCGGAAAACGGCAGGCACGTCCGATGCTAATGAGGAAGACGAACCATCCAGTTGGCTCCTTCCTACTCCACCCAAGCAAGCTCTGGACTTATCGTCATCCTCTCCAACGCACCTTTCTTTTTCTCTCCTACATCTCCGTGCCGCGTCCACCATCAAAAGGATCAAGGTCTTGAGTCCCAAGTCTCCGTTCTCCTGGATATTCGATAACCAGACGCTTCCAGCTCACCGACGACGCCAATCCACATCCAGTCGCTACTACGACGTGCTACTACCCACCATCACTCCGCTACTCCGCTTCCATCCCCCCACTCCATCTACGCCGTCTGTCTTCGCCTTCACTTTTTAGTGTTGTGTTTTTTTTCTCTCTCTCGTCTTCCCCTGACCCAGTGGTTTGTTTTCTCGTCTCCACCTGCATGGATCATGGCTTCTGCTAGCTCCCTTGCCCATCTAAAGAGTCGACGGCGCGAAGACTACCGCTACTTGCTTGACTACCGAACTAGATGGTAAGTTTGGGATCGCTGATTAGTCGTTCTTGAGCATGTGCGCCTCTACTACATGACCACGATGCAGAAAGAAGATGGCGGGCGCATATACATGTACATACAGGATAAGAGAGGCCCCGAGAAAGAGGGTGGTGGGGATGGTGGTGGGCAGCATCTTTGCGGCATCTTTGCAACGCACCCCTCATAATCTACCATCTCCACCAGCTCCCCCTCGGCCAGGACGATCCAGGACGGTTAAACTTAGATTTGTGCAGTTGTTTACTGCAACCCCCCTCCACCTTCTCCGCAGTCACCGCGTGGTCGGCACGTTGACCCATCCTGTCGGGGCGTCGCCAGACACTCGGATTCCCGAGAATAAGCTTGTAACTCTCATCTCTGCCTTGCTATCCCGCTTTAGGGCTTCTCTCTCCATCTCTCCCTCGCGCGCGCCCCCCCCTCCCCTCTATGCCGAACCAAATCACCGTGCTGGTCTATGATTTTGCCTTTGTGCTGCCTACCTGCTAACCTCTCCCGGCCCATCAGGAATGATAACGACATGTATCATCACATGAATAACGCAGTCTACAACTTCCTGTGAGTGGTGTGTTGGCCTATGCCCTCTTTCCCCTCATCTCGCTCTCCCATCCTCGGTCATCTCCAGTGCGCTCTTCGGTCCTGCCCTCTGTTGCATCATCCTGGCCTCCCGTACTATGGGGTGTGCAGGTATTGCACCAGCATGCATGTGAGATCGGATCCCTTGATTCTGGCCTCTCTCCTTTTCTTGAGGGGACATCTCCCCCGGAAGAGGGAAAGCACGAGAGAAGTCTCTGTCCCGATCTCGTCCGTCACCATTGAGTTGCTCACGACTGAAAGTTTTGCATCCGTCATGCCCATTACTATTGATGGATAGGTGATTGACAACGGCAACCTGTGCAGGTTTGATTCCATTGTCAACGCCTATCTCATAGATGAGTGCGGTCTCCACCCGCCCACTTCAGCGGAGCATCCTCTGGTTGCTCATCTACATACCGATTTCTTCTCATCGATCTCCTATCCAGCTGTCGCAGAGCTGGGCCTCCGGGTTAACAAGCTTGGCAGGTCAAGCGTATCCTATGAGATTGGCCTATTTGAGAAGGGCATAGACTCTGTCAGGGCGGTTGGTGAGTTTGTCCACGTCTGGGTCCAGCGTGTCACGGGGAGGCCGGCCCCCACGGGCATGAGCGATGGGCTACGGGAGGGCCTAGAGAAGATCTATGTTGCGACAGACTCTATGACCGGATCCACCGCCGGAAGCAGAAGCAGCATAGGCCACATCAGCGGTGACGGAGGTAGGAAAGGTCGAGATGATAGAAATAGCAAACTATGACCTTGGGTCATATCCCTCTTAGTGGGAATAAGGTCTGCCCGACAACATCTGCCCCTGTTGGCTCACCCACCATCCATCTCCGTCTCATACCATTCATTGTATGCGTTCGGTATCTGTCTGATTACGAATATCATTAGGTCGTATTTTGATTATTATGGCCATCATTTTCTCGCTTTGACCTCCCACGCTTCCTTTGTTTTTACTTTTGGTCCAGGTCCGTCAATTCCATACCCAAGCTTGCATTGTGTTTGCAGCAAAAAAAAAAAAAAAAAAAAAAAAAAAAAAAAAAAAAAAAATACGCTGTAAATAATAATACTGCATATCTGCATTGCGTATTGCAAGTTGGCCTCTTAGATGCTCAGGAGCACATTCCCAGGAGTAGACTGTGCATTATGCATTGCTCTCCTACGCTGTAACGCTTGCATGTCCTGGCTTTGGTGATACCGTTCATTGGCTCCTATCCCTCCGCCACTCTCCCTTTCACTGGAATTGGTATCTCTGCAGCGCGCCGTTCTGTTCTCCACTCTGGAACATCCTTTCGAGAAACTCGAGGTCGCCCAAGGCCTCCTCGACCGACTGGAGTGGGTCTGGCTTGCCGTCGGCGATTGCCCGAGCCCAAGCAGCTACCTCCTCGTTGACATAGGGAGCGCGGGGGAAGTGCCTGACGATCTCGTCCCTGCCGTCGGGCTTGACGGTGACGGTGTCGCCGACGATGGAGATGGAACCCTTTTCGTAGGCAAAATGCCACTCGAACGCACTCATCTTGGATCCCATCGAGTGTTGGTACGTGCCCGTGGCGCCCGAACGTGTTCTGATGATGGCGTTGACGGTGTCTATGGGCAGCAGATACTCGGTGACGCGGTCGGTGATGGCGTGCACCGTGTCGGCCTTGCTGTCGTTTCCGTCCGAGCCGCCGGCGGAGAGGATGAACCTCGTGGCGGCGGCCTGGTGCACGCCGGCGTCGAGCAGGAAGCCACCCTGGTAGTCGGGCTTGCTACGCCACTGTGTGCCGAGGTACTTGTTCTCGAGGCCCATGAGGCTGAAGATGCGCACGCTGAAGTTGGTCACCCTTCCCAGGCCGGCAGCCTGCTCCCTGGCAAAGGCGAAGCTGGGGAAGAAGCGGTAGTTCTCGGCGATGGCCAGCGTCGCCTCGGCCGGGTGCTCCCTGCCGCGGTAGTACTCCATGAGCTTGCGCGCGGCCGCCGTGTCTCCGGCTATGGGCTTCTCGGCCAGCACGTGCTTGCCCGCCGCCAGGGCGGCCTCGATGTGCTCGGGCTGGCTGAGGATGGGGAGTGCGACGATGACGGCCTGGATGTCTGTGCGGAGGAGGAGGTCGTGGTACGTCTTGCCCGAGCCGGCGTCGGAGGCGTAGAGGTCCGGTGGCGTCGTGCCGGTGACGAGAGAGGCGGTGTCGGTGGCTGACTTGAGAGAGCGCGAGTAGATGGCCTTGAGGGATAGGATGTCGGTATTCAGGACGGCGGGCTGTCTCCCTGCTCGCGTCAGATTCTCCGCTGCTACCTGCTTCTGCTTCCTGTGCGCGGTCGGGGACGACGTACCAGGTGTCTCTCCTTGACCCAGATACCGCCTCCGATGATAGCTGTTCCGATGGGCGCCATGTCTGGTCGGGTACGCACCGCACTGAGCGTCTTACCTGAGATGCCGGATTGAGGTATTATGCCGATGGCTGTTGGGAAATGGGCGGCAAGGACCTGGAGACGATATTCCTGTGGCAGCACGTCATGGGTGATGCTCCTTCCCCGCTGCGGGGAAATTTACCCTGTAGCTAGTGGGCGCTCTTCTGCTGTCAAACCCGGCATGATTTTTCGAGGGGGGATAGGCTGGAGTGGGGTGGAATCGAGTATATCGATCAACACATTGATAGACACTCTGGTATCCCCGCATCTTGCGGTGCTGTTGCCGTTCAAGTTGTGGGTGACGTGCTCGCGAACATGAGCCGTTGAGTATTGGATTGGCCTACGAACGGGTGGGGACGACGACGTTGTAAACACGGAGTTGAGTGTAGATCAGCTGGACGACACTTGAATGGGAATACGTATATGTATATACGCCATGAGTATATTATGAGAATCCATTGACAAGCTGTTAGTAATCTAGAGCGTATCAAGAAAGTTCTGAAAGAAGAAGAAAAAAAGGACGGAATTCTACGCAGAGAGAACAGCCGACCAGTCAGTCACCCTTGGTGGCCCGTTCTCTCTCCATGATGTCATGGAGCAGCTGTTCCAGGCCCGAATCTCTGGTATGGAAACCAAACTCGGCTTTCGAATGTCTATCAACATATCTATCCTCTACCTCTAATCCTCTATCCTCCCATCGTACGTTGCATCATCACTCAAGTTGGAGAACATGCCGGCCACTTCGCGACCTAGATCACTAGATCATCGTCAACCACGATGGAAATTTATCTCCTGCGGAATGACCTGCCTGTATGACGCGCATGCACCGACAAATCCAACAACCGCCCCCCCCCCCAAAAAAAAAGAAAAGGTGCGGGACGAAGTCGGACTGGCTGCACGCTGCGCCTACAGCCATGTAGCTTTTTCCGGGCGGTATCTGGAACACTGCGTTGACGAGATCTCCCATGCCACCGGATGGATCGAGATGGGGTATCGGCTTACTGGATGCCGCGGCGAAGGTCATGATATCCTGGAACAACTTGGCCTCCAGCTCGGGATACCTGTCCTCGACGTAACCGGGGGACCGCGTCGGCCTTGGCATCGGAGCGGTACAGCACAGTGAATCCACCGCGACTACAGCGTTCGACACGGCTCAATGTGGACACGAGAAGATCGTTGGGGTCGAATGTCACGACATGGGCCGTCGCTGCGTCGGAAATGTTCCTCTCCTGCTGGTAATGAACGCTGTATGCGTACCGGCGCGGGGAGATACTCTCTGCTCCTGGGCCTTTTCACGGCAGTCCGGACAAGAAAGATGAGAAAGAAAGAGAGAAAAAAAAAAAAAAAAAGAGAGAGAGAGAGAGAGAGAGAGAGAGAGAGAGAGAGAGAGAGAGAGGGTTTCCGGTAGCTGGTTATACTGGAGATGACATTCTTCCCGGAGAATGCGGCCTCTAGGCTGGTGACGTCGTCGAGCTCGGTGACCACGAGGTCGATGCCCAGCATCAGCGAGCTTCCCGGCAGCCGCGGAGGCGAGGCGATGATAGCTGTTATGTAACTGGCAAGAATCCGTATGTGATTGATGACTACATATTATACTATGTAATATGTAGGAAGATCGACATCTGGGCAAGTTCAGGCGACCTGAATAATAACTGGAAAGAGTGGCCGACGATTCTGCTGCCCCTGTCAACCTCGAGTACTCGTTATGCTCATGTTGACGTCAAAAGTTTTCATGTCTCGTACCAATTTAGGACCAAAGACAGATGCAACTGGCTGGCATTTATCGTTGTATCCACTAAACAACATTATCCACCAACCCCCCCCCCCCCCCCCTTTAGGGGTATCAACATAGATTTTTCCCTCTTCTTCTCTTCTTCTTCTTCTTCCGCACAGTCCTGCCACTCCTCTTTCCCCTTGTACGAGGATCCTGAGATACTGCGAAGACAGACCATGCCATCTTCATATTCCGACAGCGAAGAGCAGGGTCGGGACTCAGCTGGCTCCGACCTTTCGTTCCGCACGTGGCCATCGACGTCTCTCAGCCTCAGCCCCGCCGAAGAGGGGGCAGATCCGGCCCCGCTGCAAGTTGATGTTGGTTCTGCCGCCCCAAGTTTAGGTCTACCTGCAAACCTGCTCCTTAATCTTCACACCCCCTCCTTTGTTGGCTGTCGGTCCCGTTCGGCATATACCGTGTGTCACACGGCAGGACGGCACGGGTCGATCTCGAAAATGAGACAATGACGATCGCCTGCCAGGCACAGCTTGCTGACGATTGGGCACGCAGACAGGCCAGGGCGACAACGAGGGAGGCGACAACAACGGCAACGACGACGACGACGACGACGACAACGACGACAACAATAATAATAACACCGGAGGCGATGATGGCGACGTGGAAGAAGAGGATGCCAGCACTAGCGACACCGACTCGGCGTACGGGACAGAGGCCGGCTCGGCCTACACGGGGTCTATGACGTCGTCCGTCTTCCGGTACAAGTACGAGAATGGGCGTCGCTACCACGCCTACCGCGAGGGCAAGTACGTGCTGCCCAACGACGACGCCGAGCAGGAGAGGCTGAACCTGCAGCACCACATCTGGCGTCTGATCCTGCAAGACCGACTGCATACGGCGCCCCTCCCGGACCCCGACGAGAACCCGCAGCTCCGAATCCTCGACCTCGGCACCGGCACCGGCATATGGGCCATCGACATGGCCGACAGGTTCCCGACGGCCCAGGTCTACGGTATCGACCTGTCTCCCATCCAGCCCGACTGGGTCCCCAACAACTGCCGGTTCCACGTCGACGACTTCGAGGACGAGTGGACCTACAGCGACACGGAGAAGTTTGACTACATACACGGGCGTGCCCTGAGCGGCACCTCGGCCGACTGGCCCCGCTTCTACCAGCGCGTCAAGGACAGCCTCAAACCGGGCGGCTGGGTCGAGATGCAGGAGTACGACGCCTGGATCTTCAGCGACGACGACAGCTGCGATAGGGCCCCCTGGACGATGGAGTACGTCCGGAAGCTCGACGGGGCGAGCAGGACGTACGGCAAGCCGATCAATGTGGCCAAACACCACAAGACGTGGATGGTTGAAGCTGGCTTCGAGAATGCCCGTGAGATTGTCTACAGGGTGAGTCGAGTCCTCGAGGGAGACTGGGCGGGAGAGAGCAGGAGAGAGCAGGAGAGGGAGAGAGATGAGAGAGATGAGAGCAANTTGTCTACAGGGTGAGTCGAGTCCTCGAGGGAGACTGGGCGGGAGAGAGCAGGAGAGAGCAGGAGAGGGAGAGAGATGAGAGAGATGAGAGCAAGAAGAAATGAGGGGGGGGGGGGGGATGTAAAGAACCGACTTGGAAAGGATGGTTTGACTGACAGTGCGTGCGTGCGTGCGTGTGTGTCATGAACAGATACCCATCGGTGCTTGGGCAAAGGACCCCTTGTTGAAGGAGATGGGACGCTTCGAGCTCATTCACATGCAGATGTCGGTCGACTCACATACTCCGGCTCTCTTCTCCCGAGTTTACGACTACACACCAGACCAGATCCGTATACTGTCCGAGGGCGTCAAGCGCGAGTTCCGCGACAAGAGCCTGCGGCTCATCAAATCGTACCGGTTCATCACGGGCCGCAATCCGACTGAATGAGACGACGACGGCGACGACGGCGACGACGGCGATGGCGACAAAGAGAAGCAAGAGCCGAGACCAGGATAGGCCCCCCCCCCCTCCAGCTCGCTTCCCTTACCCTCCTCCTCCCCCCTCCCTCCTCCGGGAACACCAATTGCCGACGAGGGAAATGACTTTATTTCCCCAACTTTCTCTCTCCCACGACATTAATGCTACCCACGACCACGAATCGACTTCTCGATCCGACCAACCGCATAATATATGGCTATAATACATATTGAATATACATAATGATCATATAACTAAGCCAGGGTAAACTATATTGACTGGTTGCGACGCTGCAACCTAATGATGCGACGACGTATTACGGGTGGACTGTAGAGCCACATTTTTCTCACCCTCTTCCGACAGTTTTACCGCCGTACGTATCCACGGACGTTAAACCCCTCACCTCGAGGAGGAAGAAGAAGAAAAGAGAAAACACGGAGTGATCGACGGCATGGGGATATCAGCTACACGCTAGCCTTGTCGGTTCCCTTGTGCAGCAGCAAGTAGAGGTAGAGGTAGCCGCGCAGGACCGCCCTCGGCTGTGACGATCTCGTCCTCACCCTGCCCAGAAATAGAGTCGGCGTGCGAGCCGAGAGTGAGGGCTGGTGCATCCCGAGAAGATGGCACACGGGGAGTGTGCCTGATGTGCGTGGAGGATGCCTGCCTGCTATGCTCACCCTAGTCTGCTCTCTCTCTCTTTTTTTTTTCTTTTTTTTTTTTTTACGTCGCAATCACTCCGTCTACTCCGTTCTCATGCTTGCCAGCCTGCAGCCGGCGGATACGGCGTGCTCCGTGTCTATTGAGATGTGACGGACATGTCTTTCTCTGATCGCTTTTTCTCCTGCCAATTCGACCCGCAACGGAGAAGGTCACCTAGGGACGTCCCGTCCCGAGGTCCCACGTATGCTACGACGCGAATGGTGTTATGGAGAATGAGAAGAAGCATGACCATCGACCACTCGTCTGGTCAGCCTGGATACCACGTACGAGTATCCGCAATGTCGCACGACGTCGTAGTATCTTACTCGTCATGGATCAACGGATTCTGCTCACATGTACGTCGCTCAACCTGCATTATGTCCACTAGTGTATGCGCGGAGGGCCCAGTCTCGCGCGTGGTAATTGGCATATATGTAGGTATATATATGTAGACCGCAGCACGAGCAGTACCAGCCGTGACCAGCAGTGATATTGCCATCGTTACTGTCGTCGTTCCCACATGTCAGGCTACCAGTAATAGTAATATAGAACTAGTACTACACTACGAGGTATCCGTACAGGGGGGCTCGGTGATGATCCATCAAGGCTGCGTCTGCGTGAGTCTCGTCGTTGCGGAGCACGACTACTGCAAGTCCTGCGACGAGAACTGGATCACCATCTGTTAGTTTGGAAACCAACTGACCGGCTAGCCGTGGTCTAGACCTTGGGGGGGGGGGGGGGGGGGGGGGGGCGCATTGTCAAAGCAAAGAGTGTACGTGTATCTAGTTCTTCGTACGAGTGAGCTGCTCCGAGTCAGTGGTCAGTGGCCAAGAAGGCCAGAAAGGGAAGAAAGGAAGGGTGATATGGTCTACTCTCGCTCGCTCGGCTACCAAGGTCTCCGTTCAGGTGCATGCGTGGTTTTTCACGTATTCGAAAAGTCACAAGTAATATCGTATGCCTACCACGCACGGCGGCGTATTGGTGACATTCAAAAGCAAGCCACTTGCCGGCCCATGTCCTCGGCAACGCTCCACCGACCAAGACGGTGCAGAAATGCACGGCGGACGTATGGTGCACTCGCAGCCATCTGCTCGTGGGTGAATGCGACGCTGCAGTGTACGAGTCCAGGTTCCTCTATCGGCCAGGTTCAGAACGAGGAGAGGAGGAGGAGGAAGAGAGGAAGGATGGGAGGGAAGAAAGGGCCAGGCGCCGATCACGAATGCACAACGGGTACGGCGACGGGCATGACCGTGGAATGCACGCAACTGAGGGAGTGGAAGAAGAAGAAGAAGAAGAAGAAGGAGAAGTCATAAATGATAGCTGACTGACAGCGCGTCGAGCCCAAAGGAGACACGGGCAGCATACGAAATTCTCTGGCGCGGTAACGAAAGCCGAGGCTTCCCTCTCTCTCTCTCTCTCTCTCTCTCCCTCCCACTGCTCAACTCCTTCACCGACAAATGCCGTTCCACTATCCTCGATATGCAAGGTTCCACTTATCCTATCCGGCCTGCTTGGGTTGCATGAAGCCGTTACTCCAGATCGGGACAGACAGACAGGGGTCTTGATGGCGGCAACCGATACTCTGTGCATGCCATTGGCTTGGAGGGTTCCTCTCCCCCACCCCTCCCCTCGAGGATCAAGCATGACGCTACTGCACAGGGACAATGGTCCTGCTCTTGGGTTGGGGGGTTGTCTCCATGGCTGGTCTCTTACCCCCCCCTCTCCCTTCTCAATGGGACAGCCCGTACGTCTGGGTACTGTTGGCTCCGGAGTCCTTCTTGTCCGCCTGTCTGTCTGCCTGCCGTCGTCGTAGTCATTGCTCTTCTTTCCTTCTCTCTTGAGCGCCAATGCTACTCTGCACGTATGACCGTGCACGGTGAGCACCATTGTTTACGAATGGGAGAGGCTTAATGACATGGCATATGGACACCATACGTTGGCAAGCCGCCAACAGCAAGGTCTGGCTAGCCCTCGTCTCAACCTGTTAGGACCAATTACCGAGAGGCCACCTGCTTGCACGGGCCCCATGCAAGGGCTCAAGGGTTCAGTCAGTTTCACACATGCACACGAGGAGGGAGGCAGCTCATAACAAGGAAATAGGTCCACGTGTGCGTGCGAATCCCAACGGGACGGTCTCCCATGACGTGCTTATACCCCAACAGAGCAATGAATCTGCTCGTAGGAGAGGAGGTGTGTGCGCGCGAGGAGTTACTGTGCGAAGATGTAAAGACAGGGGGAAAAAAAGAGCGTGTTATTGCATTTCATCAAGTCATTTCTAAATGATTCGTGTGAGTAGAATATAGACGAAAGCGAGCGAAACAGCGAAAAACAAGAGAGAAAGAAAATTGCCGGGTATCTCAAAAAAGAGCCAAATGCTAAGACCCTTCCATCCGTCTTTTTTTGTCTTGTCCAGTTTCGTCCTCCAAGTTCAAAACATCATTGTTCGGAAGATGTGGGGGAGGGGGATGGGGGGGGGGATGGGGAAATACACAGAAAACCCAAAGAGAAGAAATTTGTAGATAGTAAGGATCCGTTATATAATGCAGAGGAAGACCGGGGGGTTGGGTTGGGTTGGGTTGGGTTGGGTTGGAAAGAGGAGAACGAGCAGA